GTCTTAGTGGACAGAGGTGTTGATTGTGATAACTGCATCGACCATTTTTATACTGTTAACCACTCGATAGCATTATCGACTATAGTAGGTTTGAGTGTGTGGAAGTGCATGCTTACTAGCTTATTATATGTCTAGCATATTATTGCATGACTATAACTACTTAAACATGCTTCAACGCATCAGAGAGTTGTCTCACTCGGCTTCTTCGATTCGCGTTGCTTGTAAGCTTCTCATTCTCATGCTTGTGAGCCTAAAAAAGCAAGAAATGACTTCGTCCGCTAAACCGTATTTGGCTTGTTATTAGCATTCTCACAAAGGTTTGCCTAAGGAAAATTTACGGAAATGGAATAGGAGCTTTGTTTCATCGCATACGCGATCATTCATCGCAACTGGAATCGAATCTCTGGTCATTCAAGGTTACTAAGCAGCAACGTCATCAATCTTGTGAATATAAATGGTGCACCTGTCAACCAAAATGACATTCATCTAAAATGATACTGCTCATCACACACGTCAAATTCTGTTTTGTTTTGATTGCTCAATTTTATTGTTAACTAGTAATAACCCGATCGTTAATCCAGCACCATGAACATCGACACATTTTGTACAAGATTCAACGTTTCTGTTATTGTTAGCACTGTTTTAGTTCTGTCATTTTATTTAATTCTTCAAAACCTACATAGATTCTTAACCGCCTATCACTTATATCTGTCGGTTTTAGTTGCTCACACTACATTAGTTCATTCAATGTTTGCTCGTCAGAGGCTCACTCGTCACAATAAAACATATCAAGTTGAGGGTATTACACTGGTTGAAAAAACCTCATTAAAACAGCTGGATAAATATGTTTAAAATTGCGACAATAATAATGTTCAAGTCATGCCACTTTCTTTCGTCCGTAAAAAGTTGCTTTTTCACTAATGGATTTCATAAAGAAAGTTCGATGGCTTAAAAATCCACCTATAGTAACGTTGGGGCGCTAAGTAGCGCGATCAACTAATGTGGTTCATCTTAGCTCCCGAAAAGACTTTTTGAAGTATATGATATTTTCTTGTATCTGGAATCGTCAGCACCTCTACCTTTGTCTTTCTAACCTTATCATCTCACTGGATTATTATACTTCTTGAATTATATCTTCGAACCCTATTCTTCTTCATTACCATTAATACCTCTACTATCTTTATCACTATGGGATTTGATTTAACATCTGCGTCTTTGTGCTAATGTGGTATGGCAACATGAACTTATGTACATACGTACGTAGTTCTACGTTGCAACTGACTGACTGTATCTTCACGTACTCTCATTTACTGAAATAATATCCGTTTCATCAACCTCTCCAGATACTCAGTGTTTATCATTTCATCACCCAACTAATATATTGTTTAGTTTGCACACAAATATCCTCATACCTCTCATTATAAACCTTTTACTGCATGCGACATAATCCTCCATACTGACTACACATAATTTACATTTTGATCATGATTCACTTTTCCTGAATGTTACCTGCTTCCACTTTAGGCAAATCTGCTGTTAGTACCGTTACAGTTTATCAACTTTAGTTTCAACTGTCAGCATTATCCCAACTAAGTTTTCCCTTAAACTTCATATATTTTAATTATCTCAATTAATTATTGATCTAACTTCGAAGACTGATTCAACGATTGTAAGATCATCGAAGGACATATTTTAGTATTTAACGATAGTTCAGACTCAGTGATACATGTAGAAAAAACTTTCGTTGCTTTGAAGTCCGTCATTTAGTTTGTTGTAAAAATGAAAGTGACTTTCAATAAATACTTTTTATCTAAAAGCCCCAGTCTCTTACATTAATTTTTCCATACAGATTTCGTAGCTTCTATATTTCCTATGAGTAGTATTGAACTAGTGCTGATAAAAATGATCTGATGAGACAAATATGATGAGATAGACAGGTTTCTGACTTCATAACCCTGATATGTGATATTGTTGAGTTTTTAAATCATTTGATTTACTCGAGACTTCTATTTAGGCATTAATGGTTTAGTCTTAAAATATCATTCAAATTCATACTTTACTACTACTGACTGATTGTGAGATGCCTTTAGTGAGTTCTGGATTTGAGGAACACATTTTAGATTTTTCAGTTATCTTATATACTGAGTCCAGTAGGGGTTGACCATGAACACTACTACAAACCAATTAAGTTATAGTCTTAACGCGTTGTTCTGTCGTGAACCATAAACAGGGAAGAAGAGATGGAGTATATTTGCTGCTGATTTCGCGTTATCGAAAGAATACCAAATTCGTACCAAAGAATATGGGTGAAGATAAACAGAGCGCTAAAAGCAAGATGGCAACCAAGTACATAGAAAGTGTATGTACAGAAGTACGAATAAACAAGAAGTTCAGTAACACAATCACTAGTACATTTGTTTATTATAATGAATGTTTCTATTCAACCAATCGCGTTTTCTTCGTAGAAATGGAGTCACTACACTTGAAAGAAGGTTTTATACATCGTGAAAATGATCAAAATTTAAATGAACTAATCTAGATAGCCATTTCAACCGCTTATTCACAGAATATTTATTTCAAAATAGTTTACTGATTTTATAAGAGTACAGCCTGGTAATCAGTAAGTAAGTAGTGTACACCAGTATATCAGGCCTATATGGCTTGTACTAGATTTTGGACCAACTGGTTAGACTTTTCTCCCAAGATGTTGTGATAAGCGAGTCAGAATACCACATTGACTATGCTCACCACTAAATGTTCCATAATATCCCGCCGTTATTCATAGCAAAACAAAATAAATCCATGGTTGAGTTGTTTATTGAAGGAGAACATTGGCATTACATGGGGAGCAGCAAACAGATAAAGATGGCAGCAACGCGAAGAGAACGTTGCGCGCCAGAAGTTGTAGCAGTGTTTTTGGTACAGTTAAACAAAAGATGTACAATAATGTTTATTTTTCACAAATCATGTTTTCTTCGTAGAAGCGCTCCACTACAATGTTATTCACAATTTTTTGGCCTTCTAATTATTCTCTCATAACCTTAGTTGTTTTTCTTTCAGTTAGTGCGTATATCGATCGTTTCACCAATCGTATGTCTTGCTTATATTTGCTTGACCATGAATATTATATTGTGCACCATCGCATTAAGTATGACCGCTCATCGTCTCCACTTCACTTCACTTTAAATTTTTTCTGTGTCTTCATGTCTTTGCGCGTAAACGATTACATACTAACTTATACTTCTTATAGCTCACGAAGCACAGGCCACCGACCAGCATTTTTCCAACCAGTTCTGTTCTGAACCTTCCTTCTCACTTATACCCAATAGTTGTTGATTCTTTACACACCTGTGTTCAATTCTCGGTGCAGTGTGTTCTTTGGTATGCTTTTTTCCTTTTTCCATAACAATTTCAAGTTAGGCCTTGCCTCGTAATGCAGCTGGGTCATATCCCCGATGTGATTCATATCTATATCCAGCGCTTTTTCTTAACTTATTCCTCAAGTAACAGAAGCTGGTTTGTTCTCTGCTACCGCAGGTTGTTAGTGATAGTGTCTGATCGACAGATAACTATTAACTAATACCTTTATACTGAGGATGATTGTTTTGGTGGTAACTACTCCACACAACAGAAATGTCTTCACAGTTGTATTGAAAATTGTTAGGTTAGTGTTTGTTGACAGCTGTTTTGAGTTCCAGATGTTCTTCGATTGTTCAAATGTTGCCGTCACTTTGTCAGTTTTCGTTTTTAAATCTGTGTCAGACCCACTTTGTTTATCAGTGATTGCTCATAGGTATGTAAAGGTTTACACATCTTCCAAAGCTTCTTCATCAAGTGCATATTGTGTTGCACCTAAGTATCTTGCTTTTTCGCTTGTGTATGCTGCAGAGGCTGTTGCTACTCTAGCCGTATTGTTTGCAACGACACAGGTGCATCCGCTCTTTATGTTCTTTCAAATTCTAATTTGAATATTTCATGATGTCCATTTTTCTCTTCTCAAATTTATTTCGCTAGATTTTACTTCTTGAATAACATTTTCAAACCCTAATCCTTCTGTTTACTGATAATACTTATACTACCTCTACTACTATAGGATTGGAAGTGACAATTGCGTCTCTGTGCTATTGTAAATATGTCAGCTTAAACGGATGTACGTCCGCACCTCATTATACGTTTTTGCTGACTGATTCACAAACGAGATATGAATAAAATTACTCGAAAAGAATGGGTTGTTTAGCCTGTCCAAAATGCTAGGATAAGCCAAGTAGGCTGGACATATTAGTACACCGTAAAGACTTGATCAAACATGATTAGTTTTTTCCTTAGAAATAACTCTTGATCATTTCTTACTTTATTACTTACGCTTGCCACCGACCAATGTTCTCCAACCTACTCTGCCCTAGGACGCCCTTTCCAATTCTGTCCAATATTTGTTCATTCTGCATCCGTTTCTCGGCGTAATATGTTTCTTGACCTTCCTTTTTTAGATTACGGGGTTGTGAAGATTGTTAAGTTACACATTTTTGAAACCATGAATCGATCATTGTTAGACCACCATTAGAAACCTGGAAGCACTGAACGGCCTGTGCTCACTAGTGATTAGATTCGTGAGGAATCTTCTCCGAGTTCTAGTGGGAAGACGTGACCAGTGAAGTTCAACCTGTTCGGATGTAGACAGTAACTACCGAAGACTGTGTATGAGGTTGCGCAACTCAGTGAGTTGATCAAGTTAAACATTAACAATTATTAACTTTAATGAAAATTCAATTGAAACAATCTATTCACCGTACATAATCATGTCCATAAATTATTTTTCATCATAATTTGTTTATGAATAATTATTCAGTATGATCAAGCTTACAAACATTTACAATTAACTTGTTTGTTCATTAAAATAATCATAGATGTTGTAACCAATCTCGTTATATCTCTCTCTATTCAATCAGCATTATATATACAGATATATATACGTAGATATATTCATATAATCAGTAGTGTAAATTGTATTCCCTACAATAATATGACTTCATTTAATGTCTCTTATCTATTATTACTATTCACTTATTCATTAATTTCTATAGTAAATCATTTCAACAATAATAATGTTCATGGCCAATCAATAAAATTTAGCAAAATCTCTGATAAAGTGAATTATGCAAATCCTGATCAAGCAGGGTAAGTAAGTCACTTTGCATTGATTGATTTCAGTAGCTATAAAAACATTCTGATCATAGTAGAAGTTTTTTTTTAAAAAAAGGGAAAAAGTAATTCAACTTTGTTGTATATGTCATAAGACTCATCGGTGTAATTATCAATCAGTATTTTAAATTAATTCATTGATAAAAGTTTGGTTTTTATTAGTAAATGTTCGAAAACTCGGTATTATTATTGAAGTTTGCATTATGGGGTATTGGAGATTGTTAATTTACTTTTTGAAAGCTTGCACGGATCAATGTTAGACCAGCATGAGAAACCTAGAAGCACTGGAAGGCCGTTTCGTCCTGTTATGAGTCTCCTCAGCAGTGCTCACCGAAGACAGTGGACGAGGTTGCATAAGACGGTGGATTAATAGAAGTTAGACAATGACACCGTTGAATACCGGCCCAATGGTCCAGGGATTAGGCGTCCGAGCGCAAGACCGAAGGTCGTGGGTTCGAATCCTGCAAGTTACAGAAATCATGGATGGGTACTACTGACGAGTCACATACTACGACGAAACAGACATCTAGTGCTCCTAGATTTCTAATAGTGGTTCACTATTACTGAAGTGACATGTTTCTTCTATATAAATATGCATATGAAGTAAAGTAGTATTTATACTAAATAAATTAAATAACTGATTAGATACAGAGTTCTAAATTGACCAAGTTTAATATTTTCTTCAAATTTACCACTTTAGATGATTTCATAGTGTTTGATAAATAAAATTAATATGGGAGTAATAAAAATCATATAAATCTCTTACTCATTTATAAATTTCTAATGTTTTCATTTGAAATTCAACGACTTGTGGGTCAAATAATTGTTAAGGTGTCTAATAATCATGGTGGAAGTGTAGTGCCTCCACATTTATTTGAATTCGCTTACATTTAATTTGGTCAAGCCTTTCGATTAAATTATTTAACCAAGCCATTTGTATAACAATAACTTATGTGTACCATTGGCTTTTATTATTGTCTCGTTTGTATGAGCTGGTAGGACTGAACATTGAATTGGTGCCTAGGCGCACATTCATCCTATTCGCTTTAATATTAATCTCTTAAATATCACGATGACTCAGACATTTACGAATATTTTAATCTTATTAATTCATTCGCCCATTCGCCCATTCGCCCATTCAGACGCTAGTAAGCCTACCCGGTCTGCTTGTAGTTTGCTGATCTATTTGTGATGTGCCGAAAAATAAACGTATTCAACACTTCGAGTTCACCTTCTGATTTATAAACCACCAGACGCTATTTAGTAACGCTTGTCAGGATGAGCTAATTACGAAGATTAAGAAAACGTCGAAATCGGCCATCAAAAATCTTGTGAGCCTACCGTTGAATCTATCACATTCTCCACAGAAGGAAGCACTAAATAAATTACGCTTAATGGAGAAGTTTTAAAAGATGTGGAAATGTTTATATAACCTGGAAAGCATCAATGATAAAGGGGATAGATCCGATGCAGATATGATGATACAGATTTTCAAGCGAGGGTAGGAGGCCTTAGCACAATGTAAGAATATCTGGAACTCAAAACAACTATCAACTAACACCAAAGTCACAATTTTTAATAGAAATGTCAACACACTTCAAATGCATGGACTGGAAACATGGAGAACTATGAAAATTATCATCTACACGGTGAAGGTATTTATTAACTGTTGTCTACGCAAGATACGCCTGATTCGTTGGCCGGGTACCATCAGTAATAATCCCTACTTTGACAGGTAACAAACCAGCTTACTCTAGCTGATGAAGAAATTAGTAGAAAGGTCTAAAGGTGCATTAGAGATACATTATGGATATCACTCGAATGCATTACGAGGCAAGCCCTAACTTGGAATAGTCATGTCAGAAGAAAGAAACGGCATACCAAAGAACACACTTCACCGAGAATAGGACACAGGCATGAAAAGAATGAATAGATATTTAGAATAACTGGAAATGAAGGTCTAGGATAGAATTGTTTGGGAAATGTTAGTCAGGCAGCTTATACTGCAGAAGGGCTAACAATCGTGTGTTAGTAATAGTGATTACTATTTATTGTAAAATTTTAAAACGTGATTCAATTATACACAAACCATTAAAAATAACAAACTTGTCAAACCTTTTGACAAACTCAATAAATCAGTCAGTCACTTGTAACGTAGAACTTCGTACGTATGTACATCAGTTCATGTTGCCATACTACATTAGCACACAGACGCAAATGTCAAATCAAATCCCATAGTGATAAAGATAATAGAGGTATTAATGGTAATGAAGAAGACTAGGGGGTTTGAAGATATTATTCAAGAAGTATAATTCATTCATTGGTGACTTTCGTCTCGCGGACCCCAACCAGGTAGTCTACATCTACCAAAACTACTCAGTTCACTTGTCACTGACTTCATGGATTTCTGCCATGTTTTGGTTCGGCCGCCACTAGCTTTCTTCCAACCTACTCCTACACCACAAAACACAGCTCGTCGAGGCAGTCGGTGGTTAGGCATTCCTCACCCTTGTCCCAACCACCTCAACTGACAAAGTTTCACTTCTTCATCTATTGATCTGCCATCCTTACCCAGCACCCGTTTCCTAACGACAGCATTGCTTACTCGGCTGTCCCACGATATACGAGCAATGCTTCTTAAACATCTATGATCGAGTATTAGTAACCCACGAACATCATCTTCTCTTAACGGCCATGTTTCGCATCCATATAGGAGAACGGAGAGAACTGCTGCGCAGTGCACTTGTCTTTCGGTCAGCGAACGGACATCTCGCCTACGCCATAAGTGACGCAGGTTGGCAAAAGCCAATAGAATTATTTATAAATATTACATTTTACTACTTTTCATAACGATTCGAAATGATTACACAAATGAATGCTTGTCGGATCATCCTTTTCAACTGGTCACATGAACACCATCATGGAATTTTGAAGACAACACACAAGACAACCACACATTCTTATTTAAACTATTCTAGTTTTAACATTTTTAAATCAATCCTAACAGCAAACGCTAAACCCAGTGTCCTTATTAATTTAAACGATTTATAATCTGTTACTCCACCAAATGTCAGTTGATTATTTTACAGTTCTCAAACTTAAATTCATTAGGAAACGATTTTTCATGATATCTGTTAACTTATTTAAATCGTACCGTTTACATCAATCTGATTTCGATCTCCATCATAAATTCAGTATAGTCAGATAATCTTTTGAAAGCGAAAAGGTTACCACTATACAAAGGATTCTCACTACGAATTTGTTTTAAGCAGCAACTACAAGTGCCACAACTGAAGAGACTAACACAGCTGGGAATGAGACAATGGTTCACTAGTGAAATCGCATAAACATTACAATATTACGCAATAAGTGAAGTATAAAACGCGATACTGTTATATCAAACTATCCCGCTGGTCATAAGATCCCCAAAATCCTAATCTAAATTATTGATTAGTTGATGTCAATTACTAATCAATTTCGGTCTATGCAAACCTGACTATTGATCAGTGCTGATAGCCTGGTGACTGAAGAAATCTCAGCACGGATACAGATTGGCTTTTACCAACCTGCGTCACTTATGGCGTAGACGAGATATCCGTTCGCTGACCAAAGGACGGGTGTACTGCGCAGCAGTTCTCTCCGTTCTCCTATATGGATGCGAAACATGGCTGTTAAGAGTAGAAGATGTTCGTAGGTTACCAGTCTTCGATCATAGGTGTTTCCGAAGCATTGCTCGTGTATCGTGGGACAGCCGAGTAAGCAATGCTGTCGTTAGGAAACGGGTGCTGGGTAAGGATGGCAGATCAATAGATGAAGTATTGAAACTTTGTCAGTTGAGGTGGTTGGGACAAGGGTGAGGAATGCCTAACCACCGACTGCCTCGACGAGCTGTGTTTTGTGGTGTAGGAGTAGGTTGGAAGAAAGCTAGTGGCGGCCGAACCAAAACATGGCAGAAATCCATGAAGTCACTGACAAGTGGACTGAGTCATGTCAGCTGATGTAGGCTATCTGGTTGGGGTCCGTGAGACGAAAGTAACCAATGGTTAGAGACCTTGAATGACATGGCTCAAAATCGTTTGCAATGGCGCAAGCGAATCTATTCGTTGTGCTCTCTCAAATCTTTTTCCTCTGGATTCGTCAACACCTCTACCTTTGTCTTTCTAACCTTATCTCACTGAATTATTATACTTCTTGAATAATATCTTCAAACCCCCTAGTCTTCTTCATTACCATTAATACCTCTATTATCTTTATCACTATGGGATTTGATTTGACATTTGCGTCTCTGTGCTAATGTGGTATTGCAACATGAACTTATGTACATACGTACGAAGTTCTACGTTGCAACTGACGGACTGACTATCGATCAGTATTCATAAAACATTTTCACAAAAATAATCAGTGTATTTTAAATATAATTTTGATTTATTTTTTCAATGTGAAATTCAATCTTTACCTATGATCTTCTTGTTTTCATATGCTTTGTACTGTCCTTACTGTATGTTTAGTACAATACGAAAGTTTTAGCAAAAAAGTAATTTAACAAGTTTCTTTTACAAAAAAGAAATAAACACTTCATAAGTATGCATATATTAACATGAAATAAGTTAATAAACCTGTTTGGAATGTTAAAAACGATAGTTTTGTAATACAGTTATAAATTATACTACTTTTAATTAGCAATATGTTTCATATTTCCAGTTAGAGTTTTAGAGATTTGTGTTTTTTTACAAATTTGAAATCATCAATCAATCATTGTTAGACTACCATTAGAAACATGGAAGCACTGGACGGCCGGTTCGTCCTGGTATGGGACTCATCAGTGGCACTGCTCATCCACGACTCCTGAACCTCACAGGATTCGAACCGGGTACGTTCGGTATTGTGAGCGAACGCCTAACTGAAAATATCATAAAATGTGCTCACTAGTGACTAGCTTCGTGAGAAAATTCTCGGAGTTCTAGTTGAGAATACGTGACCAGTGGAGTTCAACCCTGTCGGATGAAGGCAGTAACTACCAAAGACAAATGAGTGAGGTCACGCAAAATCCCTAAAACAATCAGAGTTAAACATTAACACAGCTGGATGCCAGCCCAGTGGTCCGATGGTTAGGCGTTCGAGTCCTACGATCTGCAGTATTCGTGGATGTGCACTGCTGGTGACCACCGTACCAGAACGAAACGGCCGTCCAGTGCTTCCAGGTTTCTAATGGTGGTCTAACAATGATTGATTGATCATTTCAAATATGTTTCATAGTCCACAAGTTTTTGCATAGATCAACTCATACAACCTGTTTGTTGTATACTATATTTGGCAGATAAGTTATTGCAGGGATTTAATACTTTTGATTTCATACTTGGATTTTAATGTATCAATATCACTGCTCATAAAAAGATCTGAACTGAACACATACCGAGAGTTTGCAAGCTTTTAAGCGTTTGTGGTGGAGGACATGGGCTCACCATTTCTATGGCTGTCGGTATTCGATATATTCTTTGGTATACTGAGTATACTGCTCGTTCTGACAACCGTCACTACATAACGCTCAACAGTGTATGACTAAGAAAACGAACACGAAGCGTTGATTACTTTTCTTATCGCACTAGACATAGACCACCAAAACCTCAGGCACACCAAGTGGAAATGATATGCATGTGCCGAAGAGCAAGAGTGAGCGTAAACGAGTTAATGAACCGAATCAAAATGTACATTTATATATATAGGAAAATAAATGAATCATTGAATTATTTAAGAGGCTAACATTAAAGTGAATAGAATAAATATGCACCTAGCCGGTAAGCCATACTTAATCATACCTGCTCGTACAAACACGATAATATAAAAAGCCAGTGGTACATATAAGTTATTGCTATACAAATAACTCTGCCTGTGAAATAAATTAATCAAAAAGGCCCTAACCAAATTTAAAGGTGAATGAACTCAAAAGTATGTGAAGACACAAGTTCATTCAAAACTCTATTCATAATGATTTCAAAAAAATTTATCACACATCCAGCTCACTGCCTTCAATATTCGCATCAATCTTGAAGAACAAGAGAGAATAATCGGTAATATACAAGGATTTACAAATAGTGAAAGTCAATGCCAAGTACATGCTAGAACATTTCAGCCCCTTCAATATAATAAGTGAAACAGAAAACATTTTTTTCGATATCAGTAAAATATAACAAGACCAAGAGTGACATGAAGAAAAATACCTTTGGCACTGTTTTTATTACATAATTACCAACAGTACAAACTTTATGGGATCCTAATAGGATTTTGGTGTGCTGTTCATGTTTCAGACTAATAACAGTTTGATATTTATAAGGTTCAAGTATGAGACCATTAACGACAGACTATCGTTCAGTAGAGCGAAAAGAACACATTCAATTTGTAGGGATGTGAAGAGTCAGAAATCAGTGTACATACAGTGAGATCATCCGCATAGTTAACAAAAGTGTTTTCTGAAAATGTTCGATTATGAAATAACTTCTTGCGTTGATAAAGACCTTAACGACTTTCTTCAAATCACAGTACATTGCTCTTTTCAAGAAAGATATAGTCAGTGGCAGAAGGATAGTCTGGAAATGCACATCGAACATACTGCTTACTCTTTTCCAAGCTGATGCAGAATAACAGGAACATTTGAGATACTACTTTTGCATTTATCAGCCAACTAATATGGATCGATATGCTATTTCAATCCATGTTGAACTGACAGTACGAATCACTTTTTCATTGTTTTACGAAAAGGCAAAGTTATCACCATATGTCTAAATTTCTCACTAATTATCAGCAAATAATTAATTTAGAATTCGAATTATTTTTATTTTCCTCCATGTTGGTTGTAAAGGATTTGCATTAGGGAGTTGTGGAGATTATTAAGTTACATATTTGAAATGGACGTTTCGTCCTGGTATGGGACTCATTAGCAGTGCGAATCCACGAGGTTAGACATTAACACTGTCAGATGCCAGCTCAGTGGTCTAGAGGTTAGGCGTTCACGCGCAAGACCGAAGGTCCCAGGTTCTAATCCTGAAAGGTTCAGGAGTCGTGGATGCGCACTGCCACTGATGAGTCCCATACCAGGACGAAATGGCAGTCTTTCAATGCTCCCAGGTTTCCAATGGAGGTCTAACTTTGATCGATTCATGATTTCGAATGAAAAGGATTTATTTAAGATGCTCATAAAGAATGACACAGAACATATTTGGGCATCAGTTTCAACGAAAATTCTAAAACAACTTGTCAAGTTTTTCGATAATGAGAAGTATGTCATCAAATAATTGACGTGTGATAAAAAAACTCATTTAAATCACAAACATTCAAATGGATATCAATACTTAATGCATCTAAAGTCTTAAAACTCTTTGAATAGTTTCTACAAATTTGAAAATTTTTTTACAAAATAAGATTTTCTGGGTAAAACTTCAAATTCAGTTGCTTAGCTTTCGAACTTTAGTCAAGTCTTTCTCTTCTTTTATTTATTCTGTTTCGTTCTGTAATAATTTTAGTTGTGTGGTTGTATGTCAATCAAAACTTACTTAATTACTTACGCCTGTTAACCCCTAGTAAAGCACAGGCCGACGGTTAGCATTCACTAACCTACTCTGTCCTGAGCCGTCTTTTTCAGTTCCTCTCATGTATGTCTCCGATTAGCAGAGTTATGTGTTCTTTGGTCTTTATCTTTTTCTTTGGCCTTGAGGGTTCCAAGTGAGGGCTTGTCTTGTAACGCATTTGAGTGCTTTCCTCAATGTGTGTCCTACCAACATTCATCGCTACTACAGGATTTCTTCTTCTGCTGAAATTTGGTTTGTTAATACTCATGATCGTGTCAATATGTGGGTAGAATATGTGATGGCTTAAAGATAATATATCTCAAAGTAACAATTAATTATCACCCAATCAGAACAATTCACTAAAATTTGCGGAACAGCTTTCATACCTTACTTATCTAACATTGGCCAAATGACGTTTTGCAAAATAATAGTAGTAATACTAATAATCACAAATTCATGTTTAAACTTAATGATAATCATTCTATTCTAACTCAAGGATTTAAAATGATGGTGTTCACTTAAAGATTTAGCGGTCGTGAATATTCATTCTTTAACAACTTAAAATTAGAAAGGAACACTTGCACATTACAGTCTGTCTGTCTGTCAACAATTGGATTATGAGCTAGAGTTTATGGAGTGACACATGCTTCTAAATCAATCTCCGTATTAAACTTCGAATCCATGTATTTTGTTAGTGTATGTAAACATTTCAGCTACCGTTGGGGACGTTAGATCCCCAGAATTCACTTGGAAAAGGTCCTAATTTTGTAATTTTATTCTGAAAGTTTGAATCTCTGTGTTTTCGTGCTAAGAGACGCTTAGTTGATCTAAAGCTTACATTTCCCTCTCGGATATCCTTGACTATTATTGGTTGATGGATTATTTCAGAACTTTATTTCGTGGCTCTCACCAAGGGCGTTTCTATCATTGTACAAATAAGCTTGATTTGTGTGCTTTCTGAGTGCTTGTAGAATACTTTCTCTACGCCTTATCAAAACTTTTTGCTTTTGTTAGCAGGGCCGCGGACAACCGAATTAGAATAGACTATCGTGTCACTGTATCGTTGACCTTCGTTTCGTTTACCAAGTAGGATGAACTTGTAACAGCATTCAAGCATAGCAGTTAGCGAGCATATCAGCTTCAAGTCATTTATCTTGAAGAATAGATCAACCAGTAACATTTGAAGTTGACTGTAAAGTCTAAATTTGAACTGTATCTGTTACACTTTAACTGTACCACTTGTTATTTATTGAATGAAACATTCAAATTTGTGACGAATTATTTCGAAATTGAACAATGACATTACTGTTTTCAAGAAAAACAAAATTTATCAATTACTTTCTAAGTAAAAAAACAAACTCTTCTCTTTTTCATTTAGTTATCATCATTGTGCGTTTTGGCGTTTACCAGATGGTCATTCGATGATTGCCTCATGTACACCATTTACAATGCAACGTTGTGGTAAAAAGTTGTAAGTTTGACAAGCCACAGTTTACTTGTTATCTAATTCAAGTATCAGATATATATATTTATGTATAGTAGAATAATAAGAGGTTACTTTTTAATCGAATTCGGTGAATGAGTTTATTGTTCAATTGTGAGTAATTTATTTCCATGAGATTTGAATTGACCAATCAGGATTTCAGAATAGAAATTCTTTCCCTTATTGGACAATTGTATTAAATCGGCTGATCATAGCAAAAGAAATATGTATAATGATGATCATAACCAATCAGAATTAAGATAACATTTCATAATGTATTTTGTGAGAAATGTGAAGTTCATTCATGAATAAAATATAACTTGTTGATTACGATTAACGAAGTTAAAACTTAGCCTAATTTGTTTCATTAAAATTTTTGAAACCAATAAATGAAAGTATCCATTATGTAACAAAAAAATCAATTTAAGATGGTAATTACGCTAAATTGCTGAACATACTAACTCTCAAGGTCAAACTGTGTGTTAAAGTACTTGATACACATTTATGCGTAGTCAAGAATGTTTGATGAAGCTAGATAGTACTGTATGACTCTAAATTTTACTCTAAATCTCAACCCAAGTTTCTGAAGTTTATAGACAGAAAAAAAACGAAGTACGCACATTGTGGTCGACTAAAATTTGTAAACCCAACTTAGTGCTCCAGTTTAACACTTAATACCTAACACTAACTTTTTTTGTACTAAAGTTGGTGTGCATTAGGGGTGAAAACTCTAGGGGATGATAATTCTAACTTCTAAAGTTTGTGTTGATGACGACGTTCAGAAGAACGATTAAATCTCCACAAGCGAAACACCCAGCTCAGAGCAAGAAACACCATCACGATAATCCTAATTCATAACACGAGCTCAACTTTTAATACGTAAACTTAACCTTTACTTTTCACGACTAGGAATAACTCGACATATGAGGATTGACTATTGAGATTGAAACTATTTCAGTGGTCGCGTTAGATTCTGATGTAGAGTTCACCATTTTAGTGGCCCGCGATCTGACTTCAACAAACGAATATGCTATGAAATTATTCTACCCTTCAGTCTCCGTATATCATACTTAAGCGAACACCGTTTGTTCGACGAAGGTAATCACATGCCCAATAAGAATTCAGTTAGATGAGTTTATTTCAAGTTGTCGTTCAAACAGGCAGATACTAGAATGAATAGAGTACAAGAAAAGCTAAACAAATCGGAGAAGGCGAGTGAGCCAAGTGTATGCGATGAAACATGACTTGGTTCTCTTCAAACCTCATCAAGTTATCCACTAAGCGACTGGATCCAAACAGCTATGGTGTGTGAAGTGAACAGTACTCCGGGAATATCAACTCTGGGATGCAAATATATCTAGCTGACGAGTTTCAAAAAGGACGAAACTTGTATCTCAGATTCCATTACCAATCACTACCTATCTATGATTATAATGCTTATGACTTAATGGTTATATCGAAGCGATCCTATAAGCTAAAGTAAATGCTCAACCTCAGCTTCGGGCTTAGAGACCTGGTAGTGTGACCGCACAGTCCAAGGGATAATTGCTTGAAGTCAGACACACATGGTCTTTGATGGAATTTTTTTAAAGTGTTAGCTCAGCTCTTCAAAAGGCCTTAACGGCAGAGACCGAAATCCGTGAGGTAAGGTAAGGTGTGACATTTTTAGGGTCGACATTTTCTAATCCTTCCTTCCTTTTGAGAAGGTAGCATCGCTGCAGATGCTGGTTGTCCGAGAGAAACACCTTACTGCTGTCACACCTCTATGCAGTAGTCAGCAGTACGACTTCACCTACAGACCTTGAGTAGCTGCTTTTAGTCTCATCGTTCTCTAGTCGACTTATCTGGCATGGTAGAACCTTAAGAAACTGTACGTTCCAGACACGATAGGCAAGCCCAACAACTAAGTTAAAGTAGCAGCTACAGTCGGGTCGACTATGCAGCAACTTGTCCCGTTAACCTTAAAGTCGATTCGCTAGAAATTGCCTGAAGTCGTTAACGATCTTTTACTATCTGAAATTTGTCGTGATTATGTTGTTCAGAAAAAAACACAACATGAAAGCTTCACAATGCAATCATTTAAATTAGAAAATGTAATTTTATTTGCAAAAAATATTACACACATTAACAATTCATGTTTGTTTTAATTTATCATAACACAGAGAATTCGATTATAAATGCTGTGCAGGTTATGATAAAATTGAAAAGTTACCATATTCATTTCGAGATTTTAAAAAAGGTGAATGTGCTCTGCAGCTTTCTCCTTATGAATCATGCACGGAGTTAATAGAGAATCAATGTGAGTTCAATTGTTCAATTAAAAATAGTGATTTTGTTTTTCTAAATTGAATTGAATTAGTTTTATGTCAAAGTATTTGAAGATGATGTTTTGTGCCATTTGTTAGACATCCTTACTTATTTTACTTACCTTTGTAACCATCAAAAGAGAATAGGTCGTTTGTAAGCCCATAATGGAGCATAGGCCGCCGACCGACACTGATTCTCCAACCAACTGTATCCTAGACCTTCCTTTCCAGTATAGATCCAGTAAGATATGCATTAAAATCGCTGAAACTAACGAAGCTATTACGATAACTAGTAAATAGTCAATAATCCACAGAAAATGAGTACCATTTGACGTAAAATGACTAAAAGAAACCAACAGCAAGCCGTGAATCATTTATGTCTATCACTACTAATTAAGCGGTGATTAAATGAACTGATTCTCAGAGAATGCCTACTATAAATTTAATATTTATTTCTCACAACTGAACAAAGGAAGTTTAAATTGTGAATTTGTTTAGTTATCAGTATAGAGTTGTGAAAACTGATGCAGATATGAGGCCGCAGATCAGCAAAGCAAGGGCTGCATTTTACGCAGTTGAAAAATATCTGCAACTACAAACAACTTTCAACCAAAACCAAAATCAGGATTTTTAATATAAATGTCAAGACAGTTCTACTGTATGGAGTGGAAACTTGGAGAGCTACGAAAGTCATCATCCAGAAGATGCAAGTGTTTATTAACGGTCGTCTACGCAAAATACTTCGGATTCGTCTATCAGACACTATCAGCAACAACGCACTGTGGGAGAGAACAAACCAGATTCCAGTGGAGGAGGAAATCAGGAAGAAGCGGTGGAAGTGGATAGGACACACACTACGAAAAGCACCGAACTGCGTCACAAGACAAGCCCTCACCTAAAACCCTCAAGTTCAAAGTAAAAGAGGAAAGTCAAGAAACACATTACCTCGAGGAATAGAGACAGAAATGGCAAGAATGAACCAAAATTGGACAGAACAGCAAAGGGCAGCTCAGAGCAGAGTTGGTTAAAGAAAACTGGTGGGCGGCCTATGCTCCATTCATGTTAACAGGCGTAAGTAAGTAAGTAAGTATAGAGTTGTGAAGATTGTTGAGTTTCATCAAAATCATGATTCAATCAATGTTTGAACATCAATGAAAACCCAAAAGCACTGAATGGTCTTTTCGTTTTACCCTGAGATTTTCAGTCTTGATCATCCACAACCAGGGAATCGAAACCAGAACCTTCGGTCTCGCTCACGAATGCTCAACCTTTTGACCGTTGGGCGGGTATCCAACGCTGTTACTATCAAGCTTCAGTCAACCCACGATCATGTGATATTGTCTTCGGTGAGTGATTCCTTCATACCCAACGCAGTTAACCTTCACCTTCAATTGGAAGTCGTGGTTAGTGGACCTTAACCGCTTTAGGTGAGGGGCAATTAAATACACACCAAAAACACTAAATGAGGTAGCGCAATATTTCGGATTGATTAAAGTTAGATATTAACACCACTGGATTAGCATCCAGTGGTCAGGAGGTCAGGCGTTCATGCTCGAGGCTGAAAATCGTAGACTAATTTCTTGAGTGTGAGGATGTGCACTGCTGATGAGTCTCATAGTAGAACGAAAGGATCATTCAGTACTCCCAGGTTCTTAGTGGTAGTATAATAACAATCAGTTTGTGATCTCAATGAATTAGTTTACACTTATTACTTATTTCTTTAATCAAAATAATCAGAAGAATTTATTTTTTAATTTCATTTCAGCTGATATATCACCATTTGCAAACAAAATGAAATCACTTAATCAATTCAATACAAAAAATCCTGACAAACCATATACAATATTTGCACCAAGTACTAGAAATGCTGAAAAATATAAAGAGTAATATGATTGGTACATTTGTATTATGCTATATATATATCATTTTCTGAAATCATGTATCGATCAATGTGTTGGGGATGTTAGTTGACCTTCAGCTAACATTTCCAACCCGGAAAATACTTGACTGCCATTGGTTAATTTGTTATTTTAGTACGTTAATTTTGTGGCTCTCTCACGGATGTTTCTATCATGTATAAATAAACTTGATTTGTCTACTTGGACACCTCGTATTTTCTGGGTGCTTGTAGAATACACTTTCTGCGCGATATCAAGACTTCTTGATATTGTTTAGCCGAGCCGGAGACAAATGGATTAGAATAGTCTAACGTGTCACTATATCACTGGTCTTCGTTCCGTTTACCGAGTAAGGTGAATGTGTAATAGCAATCAAGCATATCAAATGAATTAGAGTCATAAGATGTAAGATATTTTTGGCTGAAAGACATTTAACAGGTCAAAACTATTAACGAATACTTCATATATTCATTACTGTCCTTTAGTTAATTTCAGTTTTGTAATAAAGAAATGATATGATTGAAGCATTCAGTCTTCACAATAAATTGAAGTAACGCAAAATCGGTTATTCTTTGATCATTCAGTGATTTTTTAAGTGTCAGTGTCTCAGTCTTACAGAAGGTCAGCCGTGATTCAAATAGTTCAATGTTTCTAAATTACAACACTAATTTACAGTATTTCAATTCCGGCCAGAAGCGTTAATTCACAAAGTACAACTTTCTAACAATTACTAACTATACCAAAATCTAGGTTGAATGTGATTTCCTTTAAACTTGACTCCGACCGCTAAGCTTGTGACATAATACACGCGATGCTGAAGTTCTCAGACTTATGGAGACGATAGAGGATTGTATCAGTGATAAAGAGTGCAAAAAGAAATGACACTGAACTATACCCAGTGATCAATCAGTGTAAATGTAATAATTTAATTAATTCAGAGATATACAATTACAGTTTAACCTACTGATATACCCAGGATGATTTATTGCCTTTTTTCAATTAGAGTTATGGAGATTATTGTTTTTTACACATTTGAAATCATCAATCAATCATTGTTAGACTACCATTAGAAACCTGGAATTACTGAGAGACGGCCATTTCATCCTGGTGTGGGTTAGGCGTTCACGCACAAGACCGAAAATCCTGGGTTCGAATCTTGCGAGGTACAGGAATCGTAAATGCGCACTATTGATGAGTCCCATACTAGGATGAAACAGCCGTCCAGTGCTTCCAGGTTTCTAATGGTGGTCTAACAATGATTGATTGATGATTTCACTAGTTTGTACCTGAGAAATGAACAAATCAACTTGAGTTATGTTTGTTACCTGTTACTGATAGCCAAATAAGGTATCATATTTGGTAACAATACTTGTTAAGTGTTGACAGCTAACTCTATTTCACCTCTTATTATTATCTGACGGTGGTGAAGTTTCATTCTCCGGTCTGAATGATTTGGTTGTGGAGCTCTTACTGTTCATCTGAAGTGAAATATTCGAATATCTCCACAGGTATTACTCGTAGCTGATTCTGTTGACCTCAAACCTTGATTGGTTGTTAGGGGCCTTTAACCTGTCTGTCATTGTCTGCATCCTTATTTTGATTGTATCCGCCTTTGAATTCGTTTTTGATCCTATTGTAGTGAATGAGAACACAGGTGGAGCAACCGAAATGAATCCAGCGAAATTACAGAGTTACTCAGTAAAATAGGAAAACCATATCGTAAATAGTTAATTTGCAAAGTATCAGTTCGTCCTATTGAACTGGACTGTTCCTGTTGCAAAACATCAATCCAATGTCACTGTTCATGCGTTCCATACAAATTCCATTGTGTTCTAACTCTTCCTTTCTTGATCTTCCCCCATCTTCTGCTGCCAGACATTACGTTGACACTCACATCATATACTACTTATAAGTAGCTCACACCACACTATGTGTTGAGCTGATTGGTTGGTAAATTGGATCAATGTTTAATATGACAGAAATTGTCCATTTCAAAAGTATTTGTAAAGTTAATATTCACACTATAAACAACCATATCGATAGTCGCGTAACACTGGACGTTCTTATTTTCTACAAAGCGGTAATCAAAGAGATTTTCACGTTTCCGAATTTATATTTTAAAATTGACTCATCAAATGTTTTATTGGACATTTTGTAAAATTAAACCAGTTATTTACAATGTTTGAAATTAATAAAATAGTTCGAATTTGTTATAGTTTTAATTTCAATCTAGTTTTATGCAATCAACTTAATTTTAAGTTTATTAAACAAATTTTTGGACAAAAAATTTTTTATTTATTCATGATGATATTTTAAAACTAATCAAATCTATTGATACATTGTGTTTTAATGAAACAATACATTTATGTATGCTAATTTTGAATTGAAACATTAAATCAGTTTAGGTAGAATACATTTGTATCGATTGTGTGAATTTTTCCATTGATAGTTAAGACTGCAATCGATCAGTTTCATTCGGCATACATCTGTATACTGTGTGCACTGCGGCTTTTTTAGTGAGTTAGCCAAATAATATGGCCAAAAATACATTGCACAAATCTATGAAGTCACTGAAAACTGGACTGTGTCATGTTGGTAGATGCCAACTACCTGGTTGGGGCCCGCGAGATGATAATAATCGATGGTCAGAGACCCTAAATGACATGGCTCAAAATCGTTTTCAGCGGTGCAGGTGCATTCACACTTTATGGCCTCTCAAATCCTAACTTTCTGAATTCCTCATCACCTTTATCTTTTTAAGTTTATTTCACTAGTTTCTACTTCTTGGATAATATTTTCGAACCCTAATCTCTCTGATTACTGCTAATACCTCTACTACTATGGAATTTCAAGTGACAATTGCATCTGTGTGCTAATGTGATATGACAACTTGAACTGATGTACATATGTACGAAGTTCTGTGTTGTTGTTGACTGACTTGACTATGCAGATTGCTTCCATTTAGCCATTTGGTCACAAGTATCATGATCAGATATTGATACTGACTGTTCATGGGATCCAGGATAAGCGTCGGCTCAGTGGCTTAGTGTTGATTACATGATAGTGTATGAAGCAAATAGTAGTGGGTTAGAGTCTCGGGATGAATATAAACTATAGGATTCAGGTAAACCTAGTTAAAGACGGGTCCCAATATTGGATAAAACGTATATCTTGGATTCCGCTACTATCCACAATCCATTTCTGTTTTTTAATTGTAGTTTAAGTTTGTTTGGAGATTTCCTTTGTGATTTGTGTTCTTCAGCTAGATAACTAAAAGAAATGATCTGTTTTGAGGCTCGTAAAGCATTTATTGAAGTTAAAATTTGAAACTAACGTCGATATTTTTGTAAATAAAAAGGCCACTTTGTACTTGAGTAAAGTTATGCATACATTCCATGAACATATGACTAGTGTGTACCATCGGACAATTTCGAGTATGAGATGTAACAGAGGAATAATTTTTTCAATGAAGTTGTTTCAACCACATAACAAACATAAATCAAAATGTGGTGTAAGAAACTCTCTACCTCACTAAACCCCAATTACTCAACATGTTAATTTCTACTTTAGTCACTTTTTATCAGTTTTTTAATTGTATATTTTGCAAATTTTGGCAAAGATTTGTCAGTTTCTTCACTTCATTTAATTCACTAAACTATACACTAATGAAACATAACCATGAAATCATGAATCAATTATTGTTAGACCACCTTTAGAAATCTGGAGGCACTGGACGGCGGTTTCGTCCTGATATGGAACTCATCAGCTGTTCGTATCCACGACTCTTGCACCCCTCATAATTCAAACCCAGGACCTTCGTTATTGCACGCCAACGCCTTAATGAAAGACGTGGGTTCGAATCCTGTGAGGTGCAGGAGTCGTGGATGCACACTGCCACTGATAAATCCCATACCAGGATGAAACCGCCACTCAGTACTTCCAGCTTTCTAATGATGGTCTAACAATGATTGATTAATGATTTTAACGTGTAAAAACAATGATCTCCATAACACTAATTGAAAAAATATAACTATAATGTGAATCATAACATGTTTAGTCATTGTTTAACATGAGAGTAGGCTGAAAGATGATCATATCAACAGATTATATCATATCATAATAAAACTGACTATTGACTTCAGCTGTACATGTATAATCACACATCTTGGTTATGAATCACACTGTTATCATAATCACAGGTTGTAGACTTTAATTTGAAATCGATTAGAGTACATTAGGTAGTCAAATTATTTCATACCTTTAATGTATTGATTTTGATTGTTCGTTTCGGATTATGGTCAGTGTTCAGTTGTATTGTTTTACTTCATTGATTTTCTGTCACGCTTGACTTATACGGATTGTGGTACAATTTATTGAGACATATATACAATGATTTTACTTGACTGAGTATGTCATGTTTACGATGCACGTTCATGTAGTTTTTGTAAGTACTTGTGGTGGTTTTTCGTCCTCTGAACTGGATGCTTTGGTTGCGAAGCTTCTATTGTTCTTCTTCTGAACAACATCATCAGCACAAACTTCAGATTTAAGAGTGAAGTATCTGAAGTTGTGCTGATGATGTAGTTCAGAAGAACAATGAAAGCTTCACAACCAAAACACCAACACAATCATCCACCTGAACTAAAAATTTTCTCCCCTATCTCAAAATCATATGAACGTTTATCAGTACTACAAGTGTAACTGAAGTTAAGAAATTTCAATTTACTTTAATTGATAAATTTATCTTGATATTTGTTAATATATATATCAACAGTTTATTAGTAATTGTAAAGTCTAAAAAACAAGTATTTATTGATTCATGGTAGAGTTAAACAGATTAATGTTTTACATTAGAATCGTGAATCAATCATTGTTAGGCCACCAGTAGAAACCTGGATGTACCGGACGGTCTTTTCGTCCTAATATATGGTACTCATCAGTATTGCACATCTGAGATCCCCGCTCACAGGAATCGGACCTAGGACTACTGATCTCGCGCGAGTATGCTTAAAGTCCAGAGCACTGAGCTGGCACCCAACGGTGCTATTACCTAACCTTGATCTATCTAAGGATTTGACACAGTCATCGGTAGTTACTGCCTATACTCGACAGAGTAGGACTCCACTTGTCACAGCTTCTAATTAGATCTCTCAGAATTTCCTCTCAAAGCTAGTTTTAACTATCATTATTTGTTATTTCATAGGAAATAAATGATTAACTCAAAGTATTTGCATTGAATATCAAACAGGAGTAAAACTTATCATCAAAATACATAGTGGTTACTTGTATGTGTGCGTGTATTAAGCCATGAATCAAATTTTTTATGAAATGTCTCAACAAACTATCGAAATATCAAAACAGAAACAAGTCAAGTACTCCAAGTGATAATATGCCTGAATAATGATCCAAGTTATTTTAATACTTACTTACTTACGGTTATTACCCCTTGTGGAGTATAGGCTGCCGACTTCCAGTCTCCAAACAACTCTGTATTGTGCCTTCCTTCCTACTTCTACTCGTCTGCTATCCATTCCTCTTATTTCTACATCTAATTCTTACAGCAGTGTGTTTCTTGTTCTACCTCTTTTCCTTTGACCTTGACGACATCAAGTTAGGTCTTGTCTCGTGATCCGGTTGGGCGATTTCTGTAACGTGAGTCCTACCTACCTCCGGAGCTCTTTCATAATTTCTCCCTCATCTGGAATCTAACTTGTTTTCTCCCTCAGTTGGGTAATGCTGATGGTGTCTGACCGACAAGAATGTTATATCTTGTACAGTTAACCGTTTATAAATGTCTGTATTTTTTTATGCCATGAACATTAACACTCAGTTATAAAATAGAACTAAGCCCAAATCATGTAATTCACTTCAGTTTATTATGTATACAAACATGTATTTTTCCTAACTGAACTTTTCCATGCACTGTATTGCTTTTTTTTCTGAATCTACCTAGTCTTACAAATTCTGCTGAACATATTGTTCCAGGTCGATTTTATTTGAAAGATTTAAAAACTGGACTACAACTGAATACTTTAGATCCTAAAAGAAAACTTTATGTTACACGAGAACATTATGGAGTAAGTTTGTTTTTTAAAAACAAAATATGTATCGTTCGATTAAAAATCTAAAAGCTTTTCTTTATCAAATTACAAAAAAATATGTATGAAATCGAGTATAGTAATCTTATTCGTGACAAAATTTATGCAAGCTGTAGTTGAAATTGAAGGTTAATCAATTGACTGATAGACTCTTGGAATAATTAATGTTCAAATACTGCGTTCGCGCGCATGAACGAAGGTCCTAGGTTCGAATCTTGCGAGGTGCATGAGTCGCTGATGCGCACTGCTACTGATGAGTCCCATACCAGGATGAAATGGCCGTCTTTCAGTGCTTCTAGGTTCCTAACGGTGGTCTAAGAGTGATCGGTCCATGATTTTAAAAGTTTATCTTAACAATCTTCACAACCTCATAATGAAGTAAGCAAGTGACTGAAATTAACTTATTTAGAAGACCTAATGCTTAATCTTAGTTAAATAATTATTGTAAGTCAGCAAATCCTGGGCAATTAGGAAAATAAAGTATTGCGTCAATATTGCATAATCATTAGTTACATGTTGGACTAAACTTCATCTATTATAGTGTAAGTTGTAAGTCCCAAAACTACCCGAAAAGCAAGGGCAGCATTTCTTCGGTTGGAGAACGTCTGGAACTAAAGACAACTGTCAACCGACACCAAAGTCAGAATTTTCAATACCGATTTCAAGAAAGTACTAATGTATGGAACAGAAACTTGGGCACCCACGAAAGGTATCATCCACAAGATACAAGTGTTTATTAATAGTTGTCTACGCAAAATACTTCCGATCTGTTGGCCAGATACAATCAGCAGCAGCCTTCTAAGTGAGAGAACAAGCCAGAATCAAGCAGAGGCAGTAATTAGGAAGAAGCGCTGGAAGTGAATAGGCCACACATTGAGGAAAGCAACCAACTACGTCACAAGACAAGTTCTCACTTATAATCCTCAAGGCCAAAAGAGAAGAGGAAAGCCGAAGGACATATCACGTCGAGAATCTGGGACAGGCTTGAGAAGAATGAGCAGGAATTGGGTAGAATTAGAAAGCAAAGCATAGGATGCAGTAGTTTAGAGAACGCTGGTCGGCGACCTAAGATTGTTTATCGTATAAGTCAGATTAGTTTGAATGTTAAGCTAATAAAAAGTAAGTTATGCTGTACAGTTTCGTTTTAGTATGTAAAACTTATCAGCAATACATATATTACTGACCTAGATGGTTATATCCCAATTATTTAAAAACTGTTAATATTTTTACGTCATTGTATTTCAGACTGTTTCAGTTGATTGTGTAGAACTAGTTGACGCAGATATGGAATGTAATTCTGGTATTATACATACAATTAGATATGTAAGTTCTATGTGTGTTTGTTAATTTACTTAATTTAGTGTGATTCCGTGAATATATTTATTAAAAATGACAGGAAAACATATAATGTTAGAATAATCCAAACAGATAATGATCAGACTGACTGAAATTTGTTCATTCTGATAAATTTATCAACCAATGAGTTTGTTGCAACATATATTCTTTGCAATTATAGAAACAATATTGAATGAAATGGTTTTTTCCAATTAGAGTTATGGAGAGTATTGTGTTTACACATTTTAAAATCATCTATCAATCATTGTTAGACCACCATTAGAAATCTGAAAGCACTGGAAGGCCGTTTCGTCCTGGTATGAGACTCATCAGCGGTGGTCCAGAGGTTAGGCGTTCGCGCGCAAGACCGAAGGTCCTGGGTTCGAATCCTAAAAGGTTCAGGATTCGTGGATGTGCACTACTGATGAGTCCCATACCAGGACGAAACGGCCATCCAGTGCTTTCAGGTTTCTAATTGTGGTCTAACAATGACTGACTGATTGATGATTTCAAAAAGATTGGAATGAGTTAAAAATTCTTTAGCATACACTGGACATTTCTTGAAGAGTTACATTAAAGTTCAAATGCAACTTCAGTGATTATAAATCCATATTAGCTATAAAAGTTATGATGCATTTTTATCGCATCTACGGTTATGTGAGAGGGAAAGTTCAAAGTGTTTTCAAAATTAATCGATTATTCCTACTAATAAAAATATTTATACTAGAAGCCCGAGATGATTGGGCGAATTCGTACCACAGTTAGATAACACTAAGTAGTACACCAGTCGGTTGGCAAGACACAATGAGATTAATATATGAAGTTTGTATTAATGGTGTGGTTCAGAAGAACAATGAAAGTTCTAACACTAAACCATACAGCTCAGATCAATCCGTACAATTGTCAAGTCATTCAAAATTCAACTCTAATCTATATGATTTTATACACATCTTAATCTAATAGTAGGATTCAATTGTCATCATTTCTGATTGTATATAATAACCTTATTTGGTAACCCTGAAAATAGGATTTCTAACTGTTTTAGTGATAAGTTCATCTTGAGTAAATTGTTTTGCCAGTTATCTAATCAAGATATCAGCTGGTAATGACAATCTGCATTCAAATGACTACTTAACGTGATTTTATGATTTATAGTCATTACACTTTTGAACAATTTAAAAAAAATGATCAAGCAATCAGAACTTCACTTCAAGGTTGGTTTTGTACAAATCAACAAACTCAAATGGGTGTTATTATGCATGACCTTGAAACTTCTAGAATTTCTATGATATAAGTCAAAAATAATAATTATTAGTTTCTGTAAATATTGTAGTGACATTCATTAAACTTGAAAAAGAAATTACTAAACTCGATTTATGAAGAAACATTTCCCTATTACCATCTAGTTGTACACTATACTAATGTATTTATCTGACATTAGTTGATTGTCCTTGTAAAGAAGAACCAGGGCAAAATTGGTTAGAAAATACTGATCGATAAGCCTGAGCTCCCCAAAAGATACAGGTATTTATTAACAGTTGTCTACGCAAAATACTTCAGATCCGTTGGTCAGACACCATCAGCAACGACCAACTATAGGAAAAAACAAACTAAATTCCAGTGGAGGAGAAAATCAGAAAGAAGCTCTGGAAGTGGATAGGAAACACAATAAGGAAAGCAACCAACTTCGTCTCAAGACAAGCGGTCACTTGAAACCCTCAAGGTCAAAGTGAAACGCATTACACAGAGAAATGAAGACAGACAGGAGGTGAATGAACAACATTTGAACAGAACTAGAAAGGGAAATTCAAGACAGAGTAGGGTGGAGAATATTGGTTTTATGTTTTCTGCTTGATGTAACGCCAAACCACTGTATTAATGACCCTTGAACGTTAAACTTCCACCGTTCAAAAATAAGAAGACGGAAGACGTTGGAGAACACTTATTAACAGAATCAAAAATATACAATCAAACATGCGTATTTATACAATTATACATATAATCGATATTGTCGCTTAAATATTTGAATATTAAATCCAATAGTTCATCGATCGACTGCCCTTGAAATATTTAAGCATTTAATCGATAAGTTCATCAATCCACAATGTGCATGGCTTTCTTCTCGATTGGCTATCCCAAAACCTACCCGGAATAAGATTTTTTTCTTGGGTCCACTTGTAGTCTTACGACTGGTTTGCGGCGGCGTTCCATTCTGGTTATAGTTGTTCGAGTTAATGTCTCCAACCTTCCTTTTTCTTCGGCATTCCGGGACAAATGTGTAGTTGTCGGTTCTGTGATCAACTCCAGGGGTAAATTCACGCGATTACCACCCGAGCGTGCCATTCTTTGATCCCTTCGCAGTTGGTTCGTGTGTCTAACACAGCTTCCGAAAGCTCCTGTTATTCGATACAAAACTCTTCCTAGTCTTTGGACGACTGTCCCTGGTTCCCATTGATTTTTACCCCGATATGTTTTTAGGAACACTTTATCGCCAACGTTGAAACTGTGAATATTTTGATTTGGCCTGTATCTATTCGCTCTTTTAGGGGGCAACATCGTGTTAAAAATAATCCGAATACGTCTTCCAAACATTGCTTCAGCTGGAGACTTCCCCTCTGGGACCGTATTGTTCGGAGTGCTTCTGTAAGCCGTTAAAAATCTAGTGATTACTTGGCTAGTTGGCCCCTCGTCTCCCCTTTTCAGTAAAGCTCTTTTGAAGGTGTCCACGAAGCGTTCAGCTTGTCCATTGGATTAGGGGTGGTAAGGTGGGGACCGTAGATGTGTTATGCCGTTTGAACTGCAGAATCGCGTGAATGGGTCGGCAACAAATTGTGATCCATTATCAGTTACCAATGTTTCTGGCACTCCGAAACAACTAAATAAGGTAGACAGCTTCTGAATAGTTTCTGAGGTTGTACAATTCGGCATGCTGTATATTTCTGGCCATTTTGTATACGCATCTACAATAGTTAGAAACATTTTACCTTGGATTGGGCCAGCGAAATCTGCATGAATTCTCTCCCAAAGTCCCTTAGGTTTCTGCCATTGTTGGGGCTCGCATTTCGAAGGGGTTTTTGCGGCTTGTATGCATAAAAGGCAGTTTCGGCATTTGGTTTCTGTATCTTTATCCATCGAGGGCCAGTAGGCGTAGCTGCGCGCCAACGATTTCATCTTGTTTATTCCAGGGTGACCACTGTGAAATTGCTTGAGGGTTTTATGTCGCAATAATTTCGGAATAATAATTCGGTCACCAAACATAATGCATGAGTCGATAATAGTGAGTGAATCGCGCGGGCAGAAATATTGTTGCAGTTCTCCTTGTAGACGACGATTCGGCCACTTTGAGAGGATATAACCTTTGACTTCTTGTAGTATTTTGTCATTTATTGTAGCTTCTTTAATAGCTTTGAATGTAAGTGGTAGACCATCTACTGCGTCTTCCAACACTCAATGTATTTCTGACTCAATCGCAGCCACCAAGATATCTTCTTCCTGATTCACTTGAGAACCAATGAGTCTAGACAAAGCGTCAGCTTGTCCGAAAGAAGTAGTAGGTTAGTACTTAATTTTGAAGTCGTAGCCCAATAATATGGTTCCCCATCGTTGCAATCTGTTCACCGTATAGACTGGGATCCCTTTCTTTGACCCAAATATGGCTAGCAGCGGTTTGTGGTCAGTTAAGAGTGTGAAGCTGCGTCCAAATATCATCTTGTGAAATTTTCTTACGGCAAAAATAATTGACAAAGCTTCTTTCTGAATCTGACTATATTTACGTTCTGTTGTAGTTAAAGACCTTGCTGCATTCGAGATTGCCTTCTCTGACCCATCAGGCATGATATGCGAAATGCTTGCTCCAATGCCGTAGCTTGAAGCATCTGACGCTACTACAATAGGGAGGGATGGGTCATAGTGTGTCAGCGACAGATCCGAGAGTAGCAGTTTTTTATTCTTCTCGAAAGCAATTTGACAACTATTGAACCAACACCACTTTACGTTCTTTGCTAAAAGACTGTTTAATGGGGCGCGTAGACGATGAAGGTCAGGGATAAAAGCTCCATAATGACTAACGAGCCCCAGAAAGGATCGAAGTGTGGAAACATCTGTCGGTCTCGGCATTTCTTTCAAAGCTTGAGTGTTTTCTGGGTCTGGTTTTCTCCCATCTTTATCGATAATAAAACCGAGGTAGCGTACATTCTGCATGAAAAAGTCGCATTTTCCCACACGAAGCCGGAATCCATATTCAGCTATTCTTGATAGCACCTGGTCGAGCTTCTTTCCTAAGTCTATTATATCAACGCCCGTAATTATTATGTCATCCATCCCAAGTTCATCAATCCACAATGTGCGTGGCTTTCTTCTCGATTGGCTATCCCAACAATTGGTCAGCGGCGTATGCTTCATTGGAGGGTAACAAGCGTAAGTCAGTAACTAAGCCTATGCCCCTTTAGGAGTAACAAGCATAAGTAAGTTTTAGAGATGAGAAATCGATTTCTTTAAATCTATATCTAGTTAAATAATTTGATAATTAACCATATCAGAACAGATTAATAAATTATATTCTTCTCTTTTTTTTCCTTTTTTCATGTAAAACAAACATAACTTTTAGCCTTTAACAAATGCACAAAACTTAGACAGATCATCTATTCTGAATTTGTTAGAATCTTATCCAGAATCTCAAGCATTTACTAAAGATTTATCTGAAGTAATGAAAAATAATTTTAAAAATATTAATTCTGGTCAACGATACACTGTTATTGTACCAAATCAAAAAACATGGGAATTATTACGTCAAAAATATTCAGCTGAACAACTTCAAAGAGTAAGTATTCTCTTTTTTTGTAGCCTTATTTGGTTCTAATATTGTGGTGTGTGCTACTTACACGGACGATATAAGTAGTATAAGAAGGGACGTGAAAAAAGAAGTCTCACGGTCAGAAGAGGAAAACGGAAAGCAAATGGAGAAAAAGCAAGAAATAAATAGAGTACCAACAGGAAGTAACGGAAGCAACAGCAGGAATGGAAGAAGGTTGGAGCGTTGGAAGTCACGACTGAAAGATGGTGTGCAAATAGAGTGTTCAATGTAATGTTGTCGTTTTTAATTGACTAAGAGTGTAAATTCCCATATTATAATCTTCAGCGCCTGCCTCAGCCTTTTCAATATTTTTAAAATTTTTCAAAATAATGTATAAAGTATGTGTCAACTTGAAACAATTGATGTTTACCATTTGAGATTACAGGCAAAATTCAGTGGTCAATCAGTCTGACCCTGTTGATAATGTGTTAAAGATGAGCTGTACCACCGAGCCATTCGTGAACTTCTGGATTACGGTACATTTATCAAAATAGGATTAGAAATTAGTGTTCGAAATTAAGATTATGAGTTAGAGTTACAGTTTTCATCATGAACTGTCATCAACTATAATACTGTCTTCCAGTTGGCTGAATGTGTTAAGTTTTCAAGGTCATTCGATAGTATAACAACCGGTTTAAACAACTTTAAATTCACCAATGAATGAGTGTAACACTACCTGACATTCTTGTAACATTGATAATTTTCTGTAGTATATCTAATTCAGAATTCGTAACCACCGTTAAATATGGGTGAACCGAGTCAACTGGAGTACTCATTGTCAAGTGAATTTTTCAGTTATCTTAAAAACAACTACATTATTTTATAATTCTGTTCAGTTAACACATTCCTTTCTTAAATTGAACATTTTGAAGCATGTAAAAATATACTACGTATTCATGGCTCGTCACAGCGTTTGGACAAACGAGTTGATCCATTCATCTCGAGTTATTGTTCACATATCTTTTGACCTTGTCAATTATTAGCTTAGACATGTTGATAAGAAAAGTAAACAATACACACACACATACTCAAATAAAAACAAACCAAGGTTATGAGTGAATAATAGACAAGGTCAAAAGACATGTGAATCATAACTGGCAAAGAATGGATTGGTCAGTTTGTCCAAAGTCTGGGACAAGCCATGTGTGCTTGACACACTGATACAAGCTACAATTGAATACTTCAAATGTAAACATTATTTCAAAACTTATTTTGATTACGAAGACGTAAAAATCCTCTTTAACATTGAATTATACAATACTGAAATGTGTGCTCACTAGTGACTGGCTTCGTGAGGAAATTCTCTGAGTTCTAGTGAGAAGACGTGATCAGTAGAGTTCAACCTGGTCGGATGTAGGCAGTAACTACCGAAGACAAATGTTTGAGGTTGCGTAAAATCACGAGATTGATCAGAGTTGGACATTAACACCGGCCCAGTGATCTAGAGGTTAGACGTTAGCACACAAGACCGAAGGTCCTAGGTTCGAATTCTGAGGGGTGCAGGAGTTGTGGATGTGCACTGCTGATGAGCCCAATAAAAGGACTGAACGGTCGTTCAGTACTTTCAGGTTTCGTATTGTGGTCTAACAATGAATGACTGGCGTTTTCAATGTCTTAAAGTACAGCAATTTGATTCTCAGAGGCAATAAGCAATATTTTTGTCTTTTGTTACATAGGAAATTTGTAAAATCATCAAAGATATTTTGATTGAGTGTCCTCATAATAGTTTTAAAAAATCTTATTGCTTTATTTCTCAAAAATACTTACTTGAATTCTGAAGAAATCTTTGGGCCAAACACCCGAAAATCGGAAGTACAACATTGTAAACTGAGCTGTAAACAAACCTTCTACTCTGCGTGAGTAGTCAGGCCTTGAAATCCACTAATCCTGAAGTCCTTCCAGGGGAAACCTGCAATATTATCAATACTTTTCTCCTATTTGCTTCATATTGTCTAGATCTCTACTTGACGAGATCAACGATCTTTTGGTATTGAGGACGCAAGATTCATCAAACACAAATGCTTTTTTTAATTCTGTTCTCAACCATTTGAATCCCCTCTTCATCATGACTTTGAAGAAACACAATAAACAAACAAATAGGCCGATTGCCAAGTTCGATATTAACACAAAATTTACAGATTATATATTTTATACCACCAAAATGAATAACATCGTACAATGCTTACATAACTGTTGTTATCATTTTAGTTGCACTAACAAAATATTGAGTGTTTCATGACTAAAGATATTTTGAGTAGATAAGTGTCACTTAACAAAGAGACTACACTCAGAGATGAATACCAACTTGCTCTGACTGCCTGAAATAAAGATATCCTAGATAAAATTAACTTGATTTACTGAAATGAAGTGTAAGTAGTGTTTTTAAAGCTCTTTTGGGTGAGGATAAATTCTATATTGTCATATCGTCCATCAATTCCATCACATTCAAACACCAACCACTGTTGTAACACTGTTATGCTCGTCACCTGATATGCTTGAAACTATTATGGGTTCACCTTAGCCGAAAAACGAGAACAAGACAATGAACCAGTGTCCGGGTAGGCTACTCTGAGCCGTTGCCCAAAGGAACTGACGAAAAAGTCTTGACATAGCGTGGAAGGTGTATTCTACAAACACCCAGCAAACACAATCACCTCACACGTTTATTTATACATCACAGAAACGTCCTTGGGAGAGTTACAAAATAGCACACTAAAACAATAAATCAGCCAATCACAGCCAAGGATTTTCCTGGTGGGAAATGTGATCTGAAGGCCAACTGATTAACCCATGAATAAAATCCACAATTAAGATATTTATCAAGATAGTTCTGGGTATCTAACTTACCCAACAAACACTGAAAAGCCAGTGAAAAATCATGCCTGAATGAAAAATGATGACGAACATAGAATACGATAGCGAAAATAATAATTCTCATTCTGATTGGTTGCCAGGTTCAAGGTCATAATGATGAATGACAATGGAGTTTATATGCAGCCAGCAAAATCACATTAATTTATCATGGTATAATTATTTTCACTTGAACATATGATAATCATATTTTCATCACAGAGTTCCACTCTAATCATGAAGCAATTAATGGGTGGTAGACCACCTTTAGAAACCTGGAAACTTTGGACAGCTGTTTCCTCCTATTGTTGGATGCCAACTCAAGTGTCTAGGGGTTAAGCGTTCTCCCACGAGACCAAAAGACCTGAATTTGATTCCTGTTTAACGAGGTCGTGTGTGCGCATTGCTGATGAATCCTGTACAGGGATGAAACGGCCACCTAGTGCTTCCAGATTTCTGATGGTGGTCTAACAATAATTGACACATCATTTCAATAATCATGTTTTTTGTATCTTTAACACTGTTCACTTTTCTGAATAAACAAAAAATAACATCCCTTTTTACTTTGTATAGATTGCAGCAAATCATGTCATATTAAATCAATATTGTTCTGGTCATTTAATTCAATCATTGGAAAATTATCAATCATTATTAGGTGAAAAACTTGAATTTATTTGTGAAACTGATTCAAACGGTAAAGAACGGCATTTTGTTCGTACAATATTTGGTGAAAAGCATGAAATAACCATGACTGATTTAACAGCTACAAATGGTGTAGTACATATTGTTGACGATACATTAATTCCGCTATCTGGTGAGATTTTGATAAAAATTTATTCAATTACGAAAGTAATAAAGTATTAGGATATTCATCCCAATATCCTAAGAGAATTATTATTTTTGGAAGCCTTATTCTATTGGTTGATTCCTACTGGTCAATATTATGGTTGTCTTAACTGTCAATTTTACAGGCTTCAATGTTGTTTCCTATTCGACCTAAATGTATAAATACGCATTATCTGTAACGTTTTATGACCCGAACCCTGACCCAGGTCCCTGGTCCGGGACCGTGATTCTCTTCGGGACTATGACCTCGTAATTCTGGATGTTTGTAGAATACAGGTTCTACTTCATATCAAGTCTTCTCTTTTATTCAATAGAGGCTTGGATCACTCGAATTAGAGTAGCATGTCGTGCCATCGGATCCTCGCTCTCATTTTCCGTCTAGCGTAAACTCGCAATAGTTCAGGCATAATAAAATCACGTGCTTACGTGCGTGCGTAACATAATGTTAAAGACGTAAAGTTTTATAGCATATATAGATAGTGGCTAACAGTGAAATCCAGAATACGTGGTCTGTCCAATTCTTTCAGTACTCGTCTTTGACTGCATGTACTTACATCTCATAGTTCAAACATTAAAAATTACCTTCATTGACAAAAATATTACCACCAATAATTTATTTGAAGTTGCTTGAATAAAACTCATTTCAATATATTAATGAATGATAAACTATGATTACTGTTTAGTATACTGATAAGCTTATCATAATTCCACTTAATAGTGTGAATAAACGTGAATGATATGTACACTTAATTATTTACT